CACATGTACGGGGTGGTTGCTAGGAGGCTCTCTGGGGACAGTTCGGCGTTGTGAGCGGCCGAACTGCAGAAAATAAGGGCGCTGAGGTAAGCAAACCTGCGAAACTAGGGTTCTTTGATGTGATAGGGATCTGGGAGGATGGTTGAGAGAGGGACTTGTTTGTTATGTTTTTGTGCTTATTTTTATGTGTTTATTTGTGTTATTGAGTCGGTTTTAGGTTCGTTTTAGTGTCGTCCGGTCCATTTTGTCGTTTTCCGTGTGTTTTCATTTTTTTTGTTTTATTTTATATTTTGGCGTACTTGTCCGTGTTATTGTTGCATTTTCAGGTGTTTTCCGAGGATGATGAGGAAGTCGAGCGAAAGTCCCGAGAATGCCGAGAAGTTCCGAGCCATTCTCATCGATGTCCTCACTCGTGTCTAAATGTTGAGTTCCATCGTACACGGGAGTGAGGTCCTTCTCTTTCAAGGAAGCAAAACGATCCACCATAACACGAAATTCGCTCTCTAATCGAGTGCTCTCTTGAATAAGCTTTGCCGATAGAGTAGAATATCTACCGAGCGGAATAGAAGATGAATCCAAGTCGAGAAAAGACACCACGGTGAGTCGAACTTTTCAAGTGTAGCACGGAGAACGGATGGAATCGGGATGCAACTCCAACTATTAAACTCCTCGATGATCGACGCGAGCCTCGCGAGTGCGTCTTGAGTTCTCGCCAAAACTTCTTGGTGACGATCGATTGGCCCAACCTCGGAATGAAATGAAGCTCCAAGACTAGATGAACGAGGTTGGCCAACCGATGGGTGCTCAAATACCAGAGAGGGAGAAGTGAAGGACTCGGTTTCTTCTTTCTCGGAGAGGAAGGCCAATGAAGCACGAAGGGATTGAGTGTCCTCCTCCAACTTTGCCATGATCTTTTCTAATTCGGTTGGAGGGCCCGAGTCGGCTCGGGTGGAGGCATAACATCATATGAACCGGGAGGTGGAAGATAGTAGAGAGACGTCTCGTCATAAGCCGGATAGTGATCATAATAATCACATTGGTTTGTGGAATAAGGGTGGCTCGGGCCAAATGAGTTCATCTCCCTTTGAGAATTGTCGGGGTATCCACGAAATGAGTTCCCGGCATAATAGTGAGAATAGGGATCCATCCGGGCTCCTCAAGCGTAATACCTCGCACAAGAACAAGAAAAACAACCCAAGACACACGAGGCAAGAGAGAGAATAACAAAAAACGAAACTAAAAACACATAATATTTACACGGGCACTAAAGGAAAAACAAGAGAAATAGAAAACAAGGCAATAATCAAGAGAAACACGCAAAAACAAACGAAATTCACAAAAAGCAAGAGAAACACAGAAACAAACTGATATAGGATATTATACTGGACCCGTTTTAATGGATATAGCGGATACGTATTGAAAGATAAGCCCACTAAGACATCTAAGGCCAACTTGGGCCCAAAAGGTACACTCCCCCTATAAAAGGGGACCAAGGTACCTCATTCTCTCATCCTCTCCTCATTACATTACTACACTTTCTCTCTCTTGATCTGAGCACTGACTTAAGCATCGGAGGCCCGACGTCGGGGCCACCCCCGGCGTTGGGTTCTGCAGGTACGGAGGCCGGTTC